CGGGCTGCTGCTGGCGTCGCGGAGAGGACTGCCTCAGCGCCGCGCCACGTCCTCCGGCCGCTCTCGGTGAACGCCGTTCCCGCTGTGGTGTACCCGCGGAAGCGTGTTGAACAGCCGTGTTAAGGTCCTCGCCCCGCTGCTACGAGCCTGTGCGCAGGGTCCGATTTGTTCTGTCGGCGCTTGACGGATCAAATCCTGCCAGCGAGTGCCAGTGCGGTGTAGTAGGTTTGCCTCAGTTAAACGCAGACGGACTTGCAGTCCTATAAATGAAAGGTTTGACTTCGGGCTCTTGAACCAACCCGGCTATTTGAAGCTTTTAAACATAAACGTAAAGATTAAGTTAAATCTCAGGTGGCCCACACCATCCCAAACTTTTCTTAATAATTTTGTGCAATATGGTACTGCCCCAAAATAACTAAGGGCAGGGAAGGAGGCACAGAGTTGCGTTACTGAGTTCCCCTAGTTGTGTTCATGTGCATCGGATGACACTCTCATCGATGTGGTATTACAGAAGTTGTGAACGCTTCGTTTAGTATACAGTGATTACCAATGACAAAAGAATTGCTCAGAAAGGGCTATGGGAAGCAGAAACATAAATGCTCCTTCTGTTACAATGGTTCTGGCTTTATAATTTAGTCCCTGGAATGATTTTTAAACAGAAAAGTAAAAATAAATAGTCTAGGAAAAGACGTCTCGACAGGTAAGGAACTAGGTAAGTTTCTCAAACACTGGCACTGAATGAATGGAGATCTGTGGGTTGTTTCCACAACATTTAACGTGCTAATAGTTCAGTGAATTTGCTTTCAAATGTCTCTGCGAATGACTTATTTTTTTACAGGGTTATAACAGAATGCAGGATATAAAAATGAAGACTCATGTTTTCTGAAGGGAACGGATCTGGAGCGTGCATGTCCATAAAGTCTTTTAGCCTTTTTTATTTGAAAATTTGTGCTTATCTTTCTCATGGTTTAATAGAAATATGATCTGTCTTCTAGGTGCTGGGAAAACAACTCTTCTAAATTACATACTGACAGAGCAACATAATAAAAGAATAGCAGTTATATTAAATGAGTTTGGAGAAGGTATGTAGACCTGTAGAAATTTTTCTTTAGAAGTAAAATGTCAAATATTATATCTTTGTCCTATTGAGTTTCTGGGAATTAAGAACTCTACGCTTCTAAATCTGTTATTTTAGTGATCATCGTACCACATAGCCTTCAGAAAGGCAAAACGTCTGCTGCTGGTGTTCAGAAGATAACAGTATGCATTAATCTGTTCCGTCTTGCACATAAACTCAGTCTCTAAGAGTCAAGTAAATTGGTATGTGCTACATGAAGTGCTGTACTTGCATGTGGCCTACTTAGTTTCAGGCAAATGGAAACTAAAATCCTGGTAGATTAGATTTTTTTTTCTCCCCTCTCTTTTACTAATAGAGCACAAATTATCTTAGACAAAGAAAATGGGGGAGATGCATCCATATCTGTGGTGCTTTGTCCTCTTTCCTTTCCTACTGAGGATTTTTAGCTCTCAGGACTATGATTTCGTATCAGGACTGTGGTCAGCGTCATTTCCAATTTGCACTGTGTTTTGACTTGGAACTTCGCAAAGATAAAGTACGGTACTTCTGTGGTCATGGAGTTTGAAATAAACTGCGTACACAGAGCCTTTATTTGATACGGACATAGAAGCTGACTTCCCTTTCTTTTAGCAAAGTTTGGATCAGTTATGCTGACTTTTCATTACTTTGGGTTTTGTTCTTTGTAGAACGAACTTGGCTTTTAAATTTGCCATAAGATGAAAAATACTAATTTCTGAAGACTGTTTCAGAAACGTGTTCTCAGAAAATACAATGTAATTCAAGGACAGAAACTTATACCTGCTTGAATCTTTCATAGCTCCTTTTCAAGCGTTCTCACACACGTTTGTAGATTAAAATTACAGTACTCTTTATATTTCCAGGAAGTGCTTTGGAGAAATCCCTGGCAATCAGTCAAGGAGGAGAACTCTATGAAGAATGGCTGGAGCTCAGAAATGGTTGCCTGTGCTGTTCAGTCAAGTAAGGAAGGAGTATTATGTAAAGACAGGTTGTAAACCTGTCTCACAACAGGTTTAGGGGGAATTGACAAAAGGAGAGGGCGTCCAGGGCTTGAGTCATTGACGTCAGTGTTGACTGTGGCTTCTTTTGTCAGGTAAAACAAGAATTGGAATTTGTGAGATTGAAATTCATTTCTTTTTGCTGCCTTACTGGATTTGGACTTAATGCCTTCCAGAAAAATGATCTAAATATCAATCTAAACACCAACTGGATATTTAGGGTAAAGAGTACTCCCATTTCTATGAATATTATTCCCTTTTATTCATAGAGTTAAGCATTCAGGAAAGTTGGAACTAGGACTCAAGTGACCTAATTGCTGGGCTAAATATTTATTCTGTGTTTCTTATTCTATTTTGGTTAATGCTTGACTACTTTATACCTCAGAAAGGGCAGAGAGGGAGCCTCTGATAAAGAGACTAGTGAAACATGATATTCCAAATTGTGAACTGAAGGCCATGTTACAATGTATCTGTGTTATGTTGTTTTCTTGTTTTCTTAGTTTGGATTCTGAGTTGTTGTGGTAAGTTTTTAAGGAAGGTGATGGTCTGTTTGTTCTGAAAACTTGGGAGACGTGGTCCCATGCCCTTTCTGTTGGGACAGTGAGTGGGAGACCAAAGACCTTATTGCGCTGTGCTCTACTGGGATGTAACAAATTCTGCCATTACTGCTATGCTTTAAACATTGGTTTCTTAAGTAAAATGAAGTCAACTTTTGTTTCAGGCTGACTTCATCTGCTGAGATTTAAGTAAATGACAAATGTTATTTTGCTGGTGGTGGGGGGAGGAGGAGGAAGAATACAAAAACATGGTTCAGTCCTATTTTCTCACCTTCCCCTCCCCTTTTTTCTCATCTCAGCTGCCAAATCAAAAATTCACTTAATCACACAGCCCAGCTTTACAGGTTAATTATGTGTCTGGGGAGTAGACAAATATTATTTTCAGACAGCAGTGAAAAAGAAAAACTACAGCGTTCCTAATGGTAGAGTAGCAGCTTAATGACTGAGTTTTTAACGTAGGTTGAGAGTCCTGATTCAGGTCTTTGCTTTGATTGCGCTTCCAGTCTTGTACATCAGAAAATACACATTCATAAGTGTTTTAGCTTCTCTTCTGTGTTCTCAGTTTTTTTTCTTCTTCTTCTTACAGGGACAATGGTGTGAAGGCTATTGAGAATCTGATGCAAAAGAGAGGAAAATTTGACTACATATTGTTAGAAACAACTGGTCTGGCGGATCCAGGTAGTCTGCATTATGCATGTTTTGCATAACCATGATAATTATCCTGTTTTTATGAACGACTTATTTGTTCACCAATCTGTTCGCTTCCGTATGCAATGCATTATAAAGTGGTGAGTTGTCAGGTGTGTGCTTTGACAGCTGTGTAGACTGAAACAGAATTAGTTAAGGAAATTGGTGCTCTTTTTTTTTTTTTTTTTTAAGACTTTTTTCTAGAGCAGGGTGACAGCTGTGTAGACTGAAACAGAATTAGTTAAGGAAATTGGTGCTCTTTTTTTTTTTTTTTTTTTTAAGACTTTTTTCTAGAGCAGAGATGACCCTAAAGCTTAACAGAAATCCAGTTAAAATATATTTCTATCAAAAAAGTAACTGGTAAGCCTTACTGAGAAGTCTTTCTGAGAAAACAATTAGGCATGGAGAAGAGAAATGCACTTTAAAACTGGTGGCTTTGAACAGGTTCTTTTGTTTTAAGTTGCTGCTTTCAAACAATAAATTTGTAGCATCAGCTGTGCTGTTATGTTGGTTCTCCTAAACCTTACATTTTGTGAAGGCATAAAATATGCTGCTAAAATATGAATCCATTGCTCTGGTGTATATAGACCAATAGTAGATCTTCAGTTTTTTTCATTTAGTGATATTTATTATGGAAAGGGGTATAAGTGCAGGTTCATATTAGTAATAGCTATCTAAATCAGTCTTTTCTGTATCAGTTAAAAATCTGTTGTTAACGAAGAAAGTGAAGGAAATTCTTACTGGTAATTCAGCTGAGATTGACACTTTCCAGCTCACAGCTAAATAGTTGTCATGGTATAGTAATTTTCTTTGAAAGAAAGGACATTGATTTAGCCTCTGTTACACACAAATCCTATTTCAGTCAAATTGGAAAACTATTAAGCTTTTTTGGGAAGAATCAATAGATATCAGAAAACCATTCGATCTTGTGGCCCTTGCTATATCTTGCATGAGTAAGCACTGAAAACACCTGACAGGTATTTTGGTGCTGATACAGAGTGGTGCCTGGAGGACTGCATCCTGCCATTTCAGGTGGACAACTTTAGACATTAGAATTCGTTCAGTTATTGCTTTTCCTATGTGCTTGATTTCTTTAGACAGCCCTGTCGGCAAATAAGAATGTGAAATTTTGAAAAATAAAACACCGTCTCTGCTCTCAGCTTCTCCTCTGCTTCGTGTTGTGGCAGCAGTACATATTAAATCAATTCCTTTAAAAATAAAGTAAGATTTTGGTTTTCTTGTTTTTAATGAGAGTGTAGCACACTTATCCTATAGTTGCTAGGATCCATTTTACGGTCTTTTTAATAGAAATGGATAGCATACTCACAATTTTTCCTCAAAAAGAACATACCTATTACACAGGTAGCAGTTTCTTACATTTCCGTAGTCAGTTTTTGTTTCCATGATGTCTCCTACGTGCCAGTGCAAAGCATTATTTCTGGCAAACTTCTGCAACAACTATCATTGCAGAACTGTCTTACTTAAATGAAATGTGAGTGTGTTTGTGCAAGAGAACAAAGGATCTCTATTCATGTATCTCTCCCTGTATACTCTCACTCATTCGTGGATTTCCAAGTCCCTGCTAGACTGCGGTCCCAATTGTCTAAATATTTGTGGATTCCTTTCCTCGAGATTAATCTGAATGCCTGTCAGTTTATTATGTTCCATTTTACATTCTGCAGAAGTATGAGTGACTGTACAAAGAGTACTACATGTTTCATCGCTCCAGAAGCTTCCTCTTTTGGATAGAAATGCAGCAACTAATGAGGCCTAGCATGTTAAAATACTATAATCGTAGAATGGTTCAGGTTGGAAGGGACCTTGGCCGTTCTCTAGTCCAGTGTTCCTGCCCAAAGCACAGTCAGCTGTGAGATAGACTGGGTTGCTCAGGGCTCTATCCCAGTCAGATTATGAAAACCTCCAACGATGGACATGACACAACCTGTCCAGGCAACCTGTTCTGCTGTCTGCCTTTTCATAATGAAAAAACGTTTTCCTCCGTTAACGGTCTGTGCCTCTCACTTCAACTTAACTACCATTGTCTCGCATCCTCCCGCTACACACCACTATGAAAAGCCTGACTTCAACTTCTCAATAGTCTTCTTGTGGTCCTGGGGTCTGCTGTTAGGTCCCTGCAAAGCTTGTCACTTCTCCAGCCTGAGCAAGTCCCGTTCCTCTTGCCTGTCTTTGTAGGGCTTGTGCTCCAGCTCCCAACCTTCTTGGTGGCTCTCTGCTGAACTTGCCGCAGTTTGCTGACAAATTTCCTGTATCGGGGGACCCCAAACTAGATGCATTATCTAGAGTTGGTCTAATGAGTTCTCAGTAGAGGGAGTAACCCCTCCCTTCACTTTCAGAGCTGTGCTCCTGTTTACACAGCTGAGTGTGCTGTTGGCCCTAATTGCTTCCCAGGGTGCGCAGCAGGCTCACGCTCAGCTCTTTGCCCGTCAGGGCCTTCCTGGCAAAGCTGCTGCCCCAGCCAGTCTGTCTGTAGCCTTTGTTGTTGTTAGAGGCTCTGCCTTCCAAGAATCAGGACTCAACATTTATCCTCACTGAATTTCACCAGATCCCTGTCAGCCAGTACCTCCTACCTGTCCAGGTCCCTCTGAATGGCAGTCCTGCCCTCCAGCATATCAACTGATTCCCAACCCCCACCCCACCCCGATTTGGTGTCATCTACAAATTCGATGCAAGTTCCCTCCCTCCCTTCCCTCCTCTGGATCCTTAATAGAGGTGTTGAATGGGACAGATTCCAAGATAGACCCCTGTGGTACCCTACTTTTTACCAGACTTTGGTTAGGGTACAATCCATGAACCATGACCCTCAGAGCCCGGTTATCTACTACCTGCCCATCTAATTGTCCTGACCTACCATTCAGACTGCAGTGTCCCAACTTGAGTACAAGAATATTGTGGAAGACAGTTTTGAAAGCCTTCCTAGAGTTGAGGTAAATGACATCAACTGCTCTCCCCTTATCTACCAGTCATTTTTTCACAGAAAGCCAGGCATGATTTACCCTTGCTAAATCTGTTCTGACTGTTCCTGATCACTGTCTTTTTCACCTGTATGTCAAGCGAATTCACTTAATGATATTCTCAGGGAGCAAAGTGAGGCTGGTTGGCCTTTTAGATTTCCTAGATTGTTGTCTTGGCCTTTTCTGAAGCTAGGTGCAGTATTTTCTTTCTCCAGTCACTGGAGACCTCCCCTAATCGCCATGACATTTCAAAGATAATAGAAAATAGCATTGCAAGGACATTGGCCGGCCCTCTCAGCAATCTTGTATGTGGCCTGTCTGGTTTCATGGACTTGTATGGGTTAAGTTTTCTGAAGTAATTCCTGATTCAATCAATGTCTGCTGCCGGTGGTTCATCTCTGTATCATTGTGAGTTCGTCTTATAATCATAGAAAATTACTGTAAGAAGAGAGAATCTGATTCCCTGAGTCTAAGTTTGCAAAGGAATTACTATTTATATCTTAAAGTATGATGTATATTTTAATTTAAACAATATAATATGTTTATTTCTCTGGTAAATGTTTAAGATGTCAGAAAAAGTATGTTCACACTGACTGAACAAAATATTTGTGATACTCCTTTGTATCCATATCATCTTTGAAAAACAGCCACTGCAGTATTCTATTGCATAAGAAATAATGTTAATTTAAAAAAAATAGATTTTTTGTTGGAAAAAAAGTTAATATTGTGAAACCGTAGTGGAAATTGTGTCCAATTGTGTCTATTTTCCCCTATGCTGTGAATGTTTAAAATTGTTATGTATAAGAAGAAACTGCACCAATAAGTGGAACTGTTCATAATATTTTGCTTAGCGATTTATATCTGATTAGTTTTGCTAGTGGGTTTGTTTTGCTAGTATTCACAAGCTGAACCTACACTAAAGATTTGTATGAGATTAACTGGATCTATTTTAAAGTTATCTAAAACTAGAAGCTCTCGTATCCAGGCTTCTGAAGTAATTAAGGAAAACGTTCTTTCTGATACTAAGAGTACTTGCTAAGATAACTTAGATACTTACTTACTGAGAGTAACTAGCCAGTTACTTTTGACTTTCTTCATCCTCTGAATCTTGATGTAAGAAACTGCATAGAGTATTATAGAGAAGCCAGTAAAGAAAAGGTCCCTAGCAGGGAGCTGTTTTCTCCCAAGTATCCCAGTTCCCTGTTTCTGTAACTGTTTTATCTCCTTTCCTGATCTTGTGGGCCATGACCTAGAAAATGATGGTTGAAATTCTGGGCTTACGAGATCATGGAAAAACGGACAAACGAGAGGAAACCGAGCATAGGATTTAGTTTAGATTACGGGTTAGGGTAAGCAGGGAAAAGAGCCTGTTAGGTGTGTAACAAGGTAGAATCACGGAAAGTTTGTACGAACAGTGAAGGAGAGAAAAGGAGTATGCAATTGAAGGATGAGAAGTGCATAAATCTCTTTAGAATTGAAAGAGCTGTGTGAGAAGAATAGAAATTACAGGTAGTTGATATCACTGAGATAAACTAATTTAGACAACTTATTTGCATCTGGAATTGTGAGATTTTTAAAGCTTTTCTTAATCATAACTGTTCACGTACACACAGGTAAAATGCTTCAGTAGCTGTTGTTAGATCAAATGTGTGGTTGAGTATTGGACATTCATGATGCTTGATTATTTTTTCCTCCAAGAATTCAGAAGAGAAATAGCTTAAAATATAGCACTACAAATAGCTTTTCTATAAATATCTTACTATTGATAATTTGATAGAAAATGTCCATTTTGCCACTGAATATATTGCACTTCTTAGGAGCTGTAGCCTCCATGTTCTGGGTGGATTCTGAGCTAGGAAGTGACATATATCTGGATGGTAAGACATGTGTTTTTTTTCCCAACCTATTCACATTCCTTTTCTTCATTTAGTGTGACGTATTCAAATCATTTAAGATGAGGCTTCAGAAAATGTTTGAAAGAGATTATTTTACTTCCTCTTTCTATGCCAACGTTTGGCCACAGAGATCCACTTGCTTGTTCTGGTGCTTGCTTGTCTAATTAATGAGCTGATTTTTTTAAGTTTGCTACATCCAACAAAAAGTTGTGTATGTTTTGCTTCATTTCATGAGCTCGTCCTTGTTTCGAGATGGAAGAGAGATCTTGATTGTTGTGGTATAAGGGGAAAAAACTCGCTAGTAAATGTTAAAAAACATTATTTTTGAGTAATGTTACAGCTTTTTTCAATATAGCGTTTCCTAAACCGCTGTCCCTTGTCTGAACTTTTTGCTGTTTGTCAGCCTTTGGTCTCCCCTATCTTCCCTCTTGCCTCTTCTTTGTCTTTTGTACTCTTGTTCCCTCTAACAAATAGCAGCTCGTTTGGTGTGTTCCCTTAAAAATACGTGCGCTTGTTGTAGTATAAAGCACCGCTAATATAATTAAAGAGCATACCAAACGATGAGGCTTAGTCTTTGGGATTTTTAAATGTAGAAAATAATTTACTTTTTAGTTTTGTTTTAAAAAAAATCTGATTAAATCTTTGGCAGGGTATGAAACAGCCATCTAGCCAAGAAAACAGTTGGATAGGGAACAGCATCCTAATTTTCTGTGAGAGAACTGCAGATTCCTGGTCACGTGCAGTCCGACAGACCATGTGCATGAATCAGCCCCCTTCATTTGGTTCAATAACCTGTAAAAACATATCTCCTGCCAAATTGCCGCTGCCTGGAAGAAGAAAGGCAGGCATGCGTCTTGTAAGAATTTCTCTTACCTGGTTTGGCGGTCTTTATTCTACTGCAGATAGGAAGTAATATTCAGACCCATTGGAAGCATAGAAAATTTTATAAGCAGTTGTGAATGTGATGACACTGTCACTTTAGTAGTTGCGCAAGAAGTAAATAAGTTGTTAACAATTTGTTAGCAGCTCTGAATACATTTCTACTCCTTTTCTATGTGTTTTCTTTTAGGTATTATATCTGTTGTTGATGCAAAGTATGGATTGCAGGTAATATACTGGAATCCTGATGTATTTTAAAACTCTGAAACACCAGAACAGCTCTTGCAATAATGTTCATTCTAATGAATTAAATTTAAGAATTATTTTTAATTTCTTAAAATGAATGAGGATGTATTGCAGTTGCTGTGGTTCACTGTAAGAATTCTTTTTTTTTTTTTGTCCTTAATGCTCTATTTTTAATGACATGCAGGAGTTCCCAGGTTCTTACCAATGCAAAATCGTGTCCACTAAGAATTGTCAGGTTGCTAGATATTCGATTCCTTCTAGATCTGTTGCTTCACTGACGTATCTTGGTTGTATTCCCAACAGGCATTTGGATTACTGTAAAAGCAGTTGGAGACATTTGTCCTACAGACTCCTATCACTGCTCCAGGTTTTATTTGGAAGGAGTAAAGACCTCAGATACTAGAGTGGCAACCAGTGAGTTAGGGCTGTAAATCAGAGGAGAATAGCTAGGGCCATGGGACTGTAGTGAGCAGGGAGATGAGTGAGCCAGGGGACGTGGTATTCTTTCACATTAAAAGAGGACTTTATTACATGGAAGTAGACAAAAGGACCAGATATTTAGAGAAATGTATAAGGTGCGATAGAGGAACAGATGTGTAGAACAGTGATGTTGAGTAAGAGTGGATATGGTGATTAATTCAAATAATTCAGATGTTTCTTCAATACATAGTTTTAAAAATAATTATTTGCAGTTTAACAGTTGGTGTAGTGAGTACACTGATTGTGCAGTGAAGTTGCAGTCATAGTAAGAGAAGATGTGATCATAAGAAAAGATTCCCCATTATATAAGCATCCCATCGTGCTTTGTAAGTGTTTTGAATATCTCCATATTTTTTATTTTTACAATTTATGAAAATAAACTGATAAAGCTGAAAAATAATGATAAAAAATAAGGGAGAGCTGCCTCTTTTAAGATTTTATTTTGCCCAAAATGTTTGCCTTTCTGTTTTTGGTTGAACTGGTCTGATAGCTAACTACTGCCAAAAGGGGGCAGTCCTGCCCGCTCATCAATTCCTGTTGTATCTGCACTGCACGTTTCCAAGGTCCTAGCAAACCAGTTTGGGCGTGTTTTGCATGGACTTTTGCAAAGGAGTTAGCGGAAGAACAGTGCGAAGGGGTGTGTAGAGCGGGACTTGCCTTTGTCAGCAGGACCCAGCTCAACTCTCACAAGAAGCCACTGCAACAGATGTCTTAAATAACCCCCCCTTTTCAGCTAAGTGCCCTCATACGAATTCAGGTGTGTTTTTTACTTGCAAAAATGTTGTTTATCTTTCTCCTTATGCAGTGCTGATTTCTTGGCTTGAATCAGTTTTGTTGCACAGGACAGAACTAAATTCTTGTTGTTAAATATTTTAATTGATTAATTTTTTAAACTTGCGAGTAAAATGCCAGCAGCAATAAAAATGTTTTGAAACATTTGGCTTTTCTATTTGTTACTCTCTTTGCAGCCCAATAAAAATTCTTACCCTGTTTAATCAGTAAGCCTTCACAATGCTGATGTCCACTCACAATAATAGGAACTTCAGATTTTCTCAGTTATACACAGATAAATAACTTTCACTTTGTAAAAAGGAGTTGGCAAACTTGTCCAGTTCCTCTGGATGGAAGGCTTAACCTCAGCAGCTGCTGGTGATTCAAAGAATTCTGAGGGCAATACAAGTAATGATATTGATAATAGGCAGCTGTTTAAGGATGTAATGCTTTAAAGATGCAACCCATCAGAAGAAAAGCTGACAAATAGTACCCTGTGGCTAGCCAGCCAAATTGAAACTAAAGTGGTAATTGATATCATGGGCTATCACAGTAATGGGATTGTTACCCAGCAATCTAAAATACTCATTTTGTAGTCAAGGGCAAAAAACTGGCCAACTTGAAATGATGGTTCTCTGCTTTCAGAAATTGACATGCAGGCCACTGGCATTGTTCTTTTCAGTGCGACAAATCTGACAGCTTTTAATTCAATAGACTCAATAAGCATAGTTACAAAAATAGGTCAGGAGAGAGGTTCCTCTCCAGTTATCCTGTTGTTGTTCCCTGTTTAGATTGTGCACAATCGGAAAATAGTTTTGGCGAAAAAGCCAAGAAAATATACACTGGCATTATGCAGTATTCTTTATGTTTTTTTTTTTCCTAAAGTTAAATAATGTTAGATGTCTGACCATTCCCCTTGAGAAAAAGTTTCCTGTTTTTTAATAAGTTTTTCCATGGCAGTTAATTCCACCTTCATTTGGTATTGCTGCATCTTTAAGACAAAATTAGTTTTATAATAGTATTGCTGTTCATTTAGAGCTGATAAATGAATGCACAGGATTGTGTGATCTTCCCACAGGTGTAAGGTACAAGAGATGAACTGTGATGAATGTTACAGCATCAGTTTAAAATGCTCTTGCCAACAGGTGTCTGTGATGCTTCTCCCTGGAGATTGCGGTGCCCCCCAGCAGAGTAGGCAGAAAGTAATTTGTAGCTGTAGCTTAGCTGTTTCGGTATATTCAGTCAAAAATGTTGATGAAAGGTATGCTTTAAAGTTAAATTGCTGTATTTTGTGCTTCTGTTTGATGTGGGCTTTTTTTCTCTATACGTAATTCTTTGCAAGGCTGTTAGCCTTGGCATACAAGTGGGGCACAGAGATGCAGGTGGCGCGATACTAAACTCATACAGTAGGATCAGATGCTGCCTCTTTTATTAACGCTCATTGTCTCTTCTGCCCAGTTAGTGCTTGAATAGGCAGCAAAAACTGATGACAGACGAGTTTACCAAGGAGTAACTGTCTATTCATGCAGACCTAGAACAAGAGTTATGAATTGTTGCAGAAAAAGTGCAGTTTGGCAAATCTTTCAGAGAAAAGGAGTATGTGTTTATGTATATGAAACTCTGTACTCTGAGCCTAATCCAGCTTTAGCAGTCAACATTGCACTCATTAGACAAACTACTGTACTTTGATTTTTTTTTTTTAATAATGTGTATTCCACACAGTTATTCCACAGTTAAATATGCCATGGTGACTCTTTTAACTTCATAGTAAATGTGAAAAATAATTTAAAATGAAAATTAAAATACAATTTTCCACCTCTTTAGCACTCTAGTCAAAATTCATTAAAAGGGAAGAGTTTTTGTCAAAGAAATAATAAAAGTTTCTGTAACAGTGAATGAATAAACTTATTTTTTCACCATCCTTGTACAGAAAAATTCTAGATGCCATTTTTCTTAATTTCTTGTTGAAAAACATATCTCAACTGTTTTGCCTTCCTTAAACTGCAAATGAGTTTGAACGTCACTAGAATATGCTTAATCCAATTGTTTTAATTTTTATCTAGCATTTGACAGAGGAAAAGCTGGAAGGCCTCATCAATGAAGCTTCTAGGTATAAAAACTGTTTCTATATATCATTAACTTTTAGCTACTACAGTGTATGAAGGTCATTAGAAATGCCATGTCTGTTAGAATGAATTTCTTTTATAAAGCCTTTCTTCTTTGCTTTTAAAATAAAGTAGATTGGTGTTGTGAGGCGGAAAATACACGAATAACATCCGGCTCCTTTTGGTCTTTTTACCAAGATCTGACTCTTACATTGCATTTTTAAAGAGGGATGGGTTTTTATATAAATGAAGGAGAAACCACATGTGTTGGAAGACAATGAATTATGTGCAAGGATCTGTGAGAAACGCAAAGTAAAAATGAAGACAGAGAAGTATTTTTTGGCTAGATGTGGAGCTACAATGATAAATGGTAATTGTAACAATAGAAGTCTTCATAAAGCAAAGATACGTCAAATGTCACTTTGCATACACAAAGCGTGTATGCAAAAGAAACAGGGGCTTGTGGGGTTCGTAAATCACCAAGTACTTTGAAGTAGATGACCTCTTAAAAAAAGAATAACAGATGGCTTGGAAGACTCCACACTTGTGTCACAGTACAGTACCCCAAAGAGAAGCCAATGGTATTGTAGTCATACTCTGTGATATTCTACTTTGATCGATGCTTGTCTTTCTGTACTGACAATGCTTATGTTAATTTTTCTGGTGCTGTGGGAAATACTGTATTGCTGCCTTGCAGGAAAAGTAATGTTTGTTCAAATTGCCTTTTTTTTTTTTCTCCCCGTAATGCATAGGCAAGTTGCGTTAGCTGATCTTATAATCATCAATAAAACAGATTTGGTTTCAGGGGAAGAACTGAATAAAATCAGAACATCTGTCAGGTATGGAACTTTTGGCATAACTGTAATGCCGTACTGTCTGAAAAGTTATTTTTTATTTGAAGTATAGTTACTTCCTTCATGCTTCCTTCATTACTTAGTACAGAAATCAGATATGATTATTCTGGCACAAATCATTAGCTTAACAGGGAAAAAGAGACTTCCCCTTTCTAAAGGCATTCCGATACATTAATATGCTTCCACAATCCTAACTCTTTGCATATGTAAGTAAGATTTGATATTATCTACTAAGTGCAGGACTTTAAGTCTTAGTTTTCTTTTTTGAGGAGGGGGAACAGTTCATGTTTTGCTGAAGTAACCATCAGGAAAAAAAATTGCTAATAAATGTGAGTTCATTAGCAAATACAGAGCAATATGGAAGAGGTACCAAATAATTATGGCTTTGTTATAAATAGCCAATGGCCAGAATCAAAGCAGTAATCAAAAGCGTGTCGCATTTTTCTGTCTCCATACCATGACAATTCAAATGAAATATTAAAATTGGGAAATACATTACAACTGTATTAGAGATTTGAATTCTAAATAATTAAAGTTAAAAGGCTTAGACCCTCCGATGGGTATCGGGGAAGAATCTTGTTTAGGCAGACTCTGTTCTCAATGCTAGTATTTTGTTGTCAGAGCTTGTGAATTTCCCCTGCCTTTACCTAGAATATGAAAAAGTCACAAAACTGAAACTTGTTGGGTTGTCTGTTGGATTGTTCGACAAGTTAAGAAGAGAGCTGGGATTACTGTTGTGCTATTTCTCAAGCTGCTTTCCGTTGCCTAAGTTGTTCAGTCAAGACGTTACACTTGCATTTGTGTCTAACTCCTCATTTTTCCATTGTATTTCAGGTCAATAAATGGACTTGTCAAAATTATAGAAACACAAAGATCAAGGTATTAAATTGGCCAGTATTACTAGGTACCATGTCTTGATTCTTTCATGGCAAATTTAAGTATGCTGTTAGATCAATTCACTTGAAAACTATTGAATTAAGAATGCTTGACTCAAGATTTATTTTAGTATTGAGCACTTAGGATAAAGCTAATTTAAAAAAGGTTAAAAAGTTTTAGTTCTTTTCTTGTATTTTTATTGATTACTGTTTACATCCTACTCCCTAGAACGTAACTTAAAATTTACTGTTATGATTTTTAGTGTAGCTTAGTTTGGAGAGCTTTCATCAGTGGTTTTTACTTGTTATTGCTGTCATAAGTATTTCTCATTGACAGGAAAAGTGGGTTTTACAAAAGCTTAGGTCTTTGTTTTTGATCATTACTTTTCCAAAATCTGTATTTTGTTCCAGACTTAGTAATGAAAATGTATTTTAATGATTAAAATTGCGTTTTCATAGTGTTGCCACTCATGGAGTGAGAGCAGTGGGGGAGCTCCTGAAAGATGCTCATATAGATATAATTTAATTGGCTTCAGTATATTTCAGAAACATAGCGTATTTTTAAGGGAGTGTCTTAGGTAGATATTCAGAGTAATTCTCATAACTTGTTAATGACATCTTGTAAATAGAGTAGAAAAGCTTACAAGGCCACGTGATATCAGAGCTAATCACTAATCACAAATGCACTGTAACAGTTTTCTTTGCTTTGTCAGCTTAAGGATTTGTCTCCTGATGGTTACTGCAAAAAATTTCTCCTACAAAATGACTTTGAATGCAGTGCAAGGGAGTTTATAGAAGGAACACTAATTGTATTGTTCTTGCTGTTTTTTACTGAAACTCTTGACTCAGATTTCTTGTTTAACGAAGTCATAGTCTTTGGAGGTGCTTTTCCTAGGCACGTTAGAGGAAGAAGAAAAGCAGTGAATCTCTCAAACTGCTAGTACTGATTTGTGTGCAGTTGAATGAATTGTTTGACTATATTGTGATAAAAGTACGCTAAGCTCCTGTAGTACATGGCTTAGGTGTTAAGTCATTTCTGTAGGTTATGCCATGCAAGTTTTAAAATAGGTTTATCAATAGAAGTACAGTAGACACAGTCTTAATAAAAGATATTTAGCTTTCTAAAGTTATTGTCAAATGCAGTTTGCAAGTAGAGAGAAATATTTGCTGATGTTGGCTGACCAGATGAGACTAGCAAGTGCCAGTGTAGAATATGTATTTTATTTGGTAGCAACACAGAATTTGGAAGACTTTTACAGATGCTTGTCTAATATTTATCTAAAGGTCAGCATTTGCTTGGTTTACGCTTCCAAAAATGTTAAGCTTGTTAACATTTCTGTTGATTTTAACTTGAAGTTCTTTCTGCAATCTGATCATTGCTGGAAGTTTTATGCCCTGCTCCTAAACAGCTGCACTATAAGAAGTCTTCTCTACATGTAGAGTCTGTCATGTTATTTTATACAGATTATTCTCAGGTTATTCTCATTACTTTATCAAGGAGGAAGATGAAACATGTTTAAGTAGCTTCTGCAACTCAACACTCCTTTCTCATTAACTTTTAAATTCTACTGGAGAATGTTTGGAACAAGAATAAACAGAACTATAGAGGGGAATCATAAAATCCATTACAAATGCATGCTTCATATCATTCACTTATTGCTCTTCTAATCATCTTAACTAAATAATTTCTCTTAAATCATCATGTGTCTGTTATTATATAAAAACTTATTTTTCTTCAATGGGTTTATTGTCATTTAGAGACGTAGTTTCAAAAAAGAAAGTTCTGGTCCACTGCAAACAGTTTCGATAATCAAGCCTTTAATGATCCCAAAATTTTTAAATATGTACAAGCTTTAAAGTGTAACGAGTCACCTTAGATTTCTGCTGCAAATTTTAGAATTTTCTTAATTTGTCCAATTATATAAATTCAGTAGTATTAAGTGTAGTATTTTATAAATTTGAGTTGTATTAGAATAATGCTACTGGCATTTTTCTCTGTCTGTAGATGGAGGGGAGAGTGCTCTGGTGACGCCAGTTTAAATTTAACCAGGAATTTATTCTGATGGTAAATCTTGGATATTTACTTACAACAAATTTTACAATATCACAATTTGAATATCTGTTTTTTTGGGGGACTTTTGTATTACTTATACTTGCCATGACCTCTATGCAGTATGGTGGCTTTTAATCTTATGTAGGTACTTTGAGGGTAGCATGAAAGATTGAAAGATGCAAGCTGAAAAAATGCTGCTAAGTGGCAGATAGAGAGAGCTACAATTGCAGCGTTTCCCTTTCCTCACACTTAGTACGTTTTTGGGAACATTATTATAATGTTTAGAATTCTGGAGTTTATAATATTGCAGGCAATGGGAAATGCTACCTCTGCCGGTGAGGGGTGTCTGAAGAATAATTAGGGCACAGGAGAAAACCTAGTATGACAAAAGGCTTGAAACTGATTGCTCAAGCTGAACTCAGAGAAGCGGCAACATAATAATTTTACTGAAAATAATAAGTGGTTTTGAGAAAGTAGATGACGAATATCTTGTTCTTGCATTACAAGACAGGGAACAAAAACGATCCATGAAATGTTTTTGAGGGGAAAAAAGCAAACTATACTGGTAAAATTAAATCCTCCATAAATTGCATGTATATATGGGTCTTTATATGACTTCTGTAAAGATGATGATGATCTCCAACATCGCGAACAGTTTTGAAGAGGTTACTAAACTTCATGCTTTGAGCCATAAACCAGTATTTGTCTGCAGAGGATTAGGAAGGTATCCAATATCCAAAGTGTAATATTCACATCTGTACCTTTCTCTGATGTCTGATGCCAGGAAGTATTAGAGAAAAGATAATGAACTAAGTGGACCTCAGATCCGGTCCTCAATGGCAACGTTTGTTTTACTAGTAAATATTCTTTAGTGAATGACCCATACTCTCTCTCTCTCATGATTAAACATTCCAAAAGTGAAACAGGCACAAAATTTATTAACGTGTTACTTGAGAACATGTTTTCTTTAATTGTTTTTTTTTTTTTTGTCCATTGCAAATCAATATGTGAGAGAGAGCAATATAGCCCTTTTTGGAGTGTTTCTGTAACCCAAATATGAGTTTTCAGGACGCTGATGAGAAGAGACAATTGAAACGCAGCTGGTCATATACTTCAGAAAAGGTTTATTTATGTATTGCACATTATAAACCTTTCATCTTGAAAGCAGCTTTGTAAGGCTGCTGTTGGGTGTAAAGGTTTAATAACAGTACTAGCTATGTATGCTTCAGAGGTCTCTGATGTTTTTTAACCTCTCGTCTGTAAATATATTCCCTGTATTCAGCTACACATATTATCTACATTTATAAAATTATCGTGTGCGATTAGCAGTGAAGACACTATTACAAATAAAATGAATCTGTGTTACTTTTCTAAAAAAGCTATTTATGTGTTGCAGGGAGCTGCTCTTGCAAATAAATCCGATCAGCACTCTCTCTTCCAAGTTACCGTTTTCATTTATCTGAGCTTCAGCTTTTAGAGCTGAAATTCTTCACACCAGCATTTGCCTCACAGCAAACTTCTAGTGAATATTCAGCAGCTAAAGCTTAGTTGTTCCTGAGAAGGAATTTAAGAGTATTATACCATCTCACTTCACCAGTATTAAAAACATTTTTGTAGTCATTTCTGATGAGATGTTCCTGCATCCCGTATTCTTAAACAAGGACTCCATGTTTGTCAAAAACTCCTACAATGAGTTATGTGCTTTTTGGTATATTCTTGAAATCCACTCTCTGAAAATGCTAGTTCATATGTACTTAGTGGAAAATTGTTTCTGCCAAGCAATTTGGGTTTTCCTCAGTCAGCTTCAGCCCATGGCTGCAAATGCTGAGCAGGTGTTTCCCAGCAGTTGCATGTCAGTTCCGCACTCAGAGTACATTGGTACATGCCAGACGCATTTGCACTGAAGAGTCTGAAAAATAAATAGGGACTGGATTTTTTAAATCAAGCTACAGCAATCCAGGACAGAAAGGGTTAGACATCTCTGGTCTGTGAAGAGGGAGACTGAAAATTTGTGATCAGTTATGTCCTTCTCAGAACTAAATGTCCTTCTCAGAACTACAATAAAAGCTCAAGTTTTTGGATATTGATGCTCATCTGTTTCGAGGAAACATTTGGGAGAGTATGTGCCTCATTTCCTCTGTATACACGGAAACAGAATGCCTATTACTGCTATACTTACCTCAAGTTGTAAATACAAGGCTTCAGTTATGTTAACTGCGTGTTAGTATGTCTCCATACTTCAGGGTTTTACTGTGCATGTGTGTTTTGAATTACCAAGTTTCATGGTTTGTTGAGGGGATATATGTTAGCCAAGAACTTCAAGGTTCCTGTCCCCAGTTAGAAATAGGATCAGTCTTTCTTCAGGCATCCAGTGTGAGAGATATTCTTATCTACCAAGCTCTGTCTACCAGGGCTTGGTGGCATTAGAAGTGTAGGCAGGAAAACAAACCTAAGCTTAAATGAACCGTTTTTTAAATAGTTGTTTAAATATACACGATATGTAAATATAGTGAAAATACAAAACTGCTTTTTTTTCCCCCCTGCCTAGAGTTGATCTCTCCAATGTATTGGACCTGCATGCTTTTGACAGCTTGTCTGGAGTAAGGTATGGCAATAATTGAACCGTCTCTTACCAGAAATAGTTGTCCTTTATCAGAAATAGTTGCGCTAAGTAGACACTTTCATATCATGGTTAAATTTGCAACAGAATTTCTATTACAAATTCTAGTCTGGTCATTTGTCTCATTTTATTTCAAAAGTAGTAACTTGAAACTGAATGCTTTTTCCTCTTGAAATGCTTGGTACTGCAGCTTTTTGGCTTTGAAAAATGAAATGAGAGTGAGTGTGTGCATGGTTTTTTGGCATTTTTTGCCGCAAATACAAGCTTATATACTAGAAACATAGTTAGGACTTTTAAGTTTTATTTTAATACTATTACTAGAGTAGAATCGGACATGTTTCTGGTTCTTTTAAAAATTGTAGGATTTCAAAATTTTTCTCACCTCACATCGTGATCAACTGGACGCCCCTTTAGTTTTCGCAGAAGGTGGAAAGGTACTGAGGTTCCACAACAAGCTAAGCCATTCCAAATGCTAGTTATTGTGTTCCTGGTTCCAGCAGTGCGCACCCATCGTCCTTTTTTCAATGCCAGCTGCATGCTTCAGCGTGTTAGATGGGTGGAAAAGTAAAATGGGAGGAGGAGGAGGGAGAGAATAAAAGACTTTCTGCTGACTTTACTTGCTGAAATAGCAGCTAGAGTAATGAGTGCCAGAACAAACAAAAGAAAAGGAGGAATTTGCAACTGGGGATATTATCAGCTTCAGTTCTCTTCCTGGAGGCACATTCTTCTCTTCAGGTGAGGGAAGGTACCACATCCTTATTCAGAGAAGGAAGAAATTGCTAAAGATACAGGCTGATACCCTCTGATAGATGTGACATGGCAAGCTCATGAGATATTCCCAGTGAGCTGGTGCAGTAGTTAGCTACTGTGTTAAGGATGGCCTGCTTCATAACCACATGCTCCCCATGCTTCCTTTTTGCTGGCACTGGCTTTAGTCCGAGCTGTGTAAAGTAGTATATAACTCATCAGTCAGATCTGTACCAGTGGCAACATGAGGGCGGTGTCAGAGTAGGTCACCAAAAAGTGGTAAGGGGAAGATAAAAATGACTTTTATGGGTGGTTGCTATCTATTAGGTCATAAACCAGGGCATAAACCAATGGCCTGAGTTTTTATGATGGACCAGCTAGCCAAACTGCCTCGTGGAGCTGCACAACAGAAAGAAAGCAGCAAGAGTGTGACCAGAATAGCACCATCCTTGTCAATGACAATTCACAGATAAATCTGAGTAGCTGTATCGTTAGACTGCATTCTGTCAGGTTTACTAGGAAGTGTTCTTTACAAATCTGAGCAGGTCCTTAGAAAGCAGTTGACAAAATACCTTTATTTCCTTCCTTGATCTCATCTTCTGTCTTACAAGCTCACTTGTAGCTGCTCTGCGGGTTGTCATAGGTTGCAGCAGAGAAGTTGAAATAGTGACTAAAGGCTGTAAGTCCCAAGTAAGGCCATAAAATAATCTTATCTCTGTTTTAGATAACACCTCTTTAATAAATCAGAAATAAAACAACAGCAACAACCACCTCTGAATTTCTTTACCTGATCAGTGACCAAAACATTAGATTTCTTGGATGATACTCTTACAGACTGAAGTTGGCATCTTGCATTGCAGCCCAAACGAAGGACAGAATGTAGTTAATTGGTCAGTTTAGCAGGAGGGCGAATATCAGGTCATGATGTGTGTGTCAGACTGCAGCCTTTTACCAGCTCCTCTGCTTCTCTTTGTGATCTGGTTTCTTAGACTTGCTTGCTTGTGAATATATGCAGTTTACTGGCAACTGAATATCTAGTGTTAGTTCTTTTCGCTTTTTTTTTTTTTTTCATGATTGTGTGCTGTATGCACATGGAAACCAAACAAACCTTTGCATGGTTGGTTTAACGCTTCAGAACATATGCTTACAAAGTACAAGAGTTCACATGACGACAGATCAGTTCTCTTAACAATGGAATTTTGTATATATGTAGCTCATTGTAAACTGTTTCTGTAATGTACATTTTGGGTACTTCCCGTAGCATCTGCAGCATGATAAAACTACAGTTATATAGTGACAACCTTGAACTAGTATTTCCTTAAAGGTTGAGGTGTGTTTTTTTTTTCACTCCCTGGAAAGCAATATGTTACCAAATTGCTGCAAACTCACAATGGTAAGTTAGTTACTCCTTTGAGGGAGGGGGAAACTGACAAACAGTATTTCAAATTAAAACACTCTACAATTGCATCAGTGAAATTTTTTACACTAGAATCAGTTCATTGGTACATAAATCCCTATATAAAATACTAGCAGTGGCTCCTGAAGTATCATGTGTAGGAGGAAAACCTTTCACATCCTGCCCCAATGGAGCAAAAATATACCAATGCACGTAACAAAATTGTTCTTTCAAATGCATCCAGCGGTAGGATTTCTGCCAGCATAGCAAGCAGAGGCAACATCTGACTAGTGTGACTATTAGTGGAACCTTAAAAAAAAAAAAAAAAAAACACAGTTATACAGCTCTGAATTCTGTGGAAGGCAATATGGAAAGACGACAACAAAACAAAAAATATAGCAATTAGGAGTGTAAACAGTTTTACTGATTTAAATATCAGTTAGTACCTTTTTTTTCCCAGAGTTGACGGCTTCTCTTTTAAAACGTACAGTCATCAAAGTAGGAGGACAGATTTTTGAGTCAATTTCTCTAAAAGGTGTGATAGTAGACTGCTGTGATTATAGTGACTTTTTTCTGCATATTGGTCCTAAGACTGAGACACAGCATACTCCAGTACAAGAACACGTATATGAAGACATTGCACACTGTTGCACACTATCTTGATTAATTAGTGGAAACTGGTGGGCATAGTGCATGGTATGAATAAATTGTTCACCGGATATGAAACGGAAACTGGCAATTAGTACGTTTTGTTTAGTCAGTGTTACAGATTTTATTCTTGTAAATAACAGCTATGCACGTTTTCTTATTGCTTTTCAAACCAGTCTTATATTTAAAAAAAAAAATCTGTCCGATATAGCAACAGATCATACTGATTTGTTTTTCCCTGTTGGCTCAGATGATACAGTTCACCTTTTGTTCCTATACAAAAGAATGTCAAGGGTATCGTGCTTTTTAAAGTATAACTATTTCAAATCCCAACGATACTGCAGAATGTAAATGTAATCTGTGTTTATTTTTTAAAAAATAAGAAATGCAAAATATTCATGTGCATATTGATTGGGTGACTAGCTTAACTAGTGATTTAATACAGAAGTTTATTTTTAGAAATGATTCCTTTTATTGCTGATAGTAATAAACTTCTCCCTGATATTCAAAAGGTATGTTTTATTTTATTTTAGGTTATGAAACTGAGGCTATAAAATGTTGGCTAGTGAGTAAATAGCACAATGTGAAATATTCAGTAGTTTGATTCTCTTTTCATGAGCTTTATTTTCTACAGAGTTGAAAACTGAATAAGAAACTGTTATCGACAAAGCATTAAATTTAGCACCTTCCCTACAAAGACTCCTTGGTGAATAACAGACTTGAGCAGCTTATGTAAACGTGAACTTCTCCACCCTTTTTTAGCTCACTCTTACTAGTTTACCCCTTGCTGATCTCAAATTCTTGCAGATATTTTATTTTGAAGTCCACAGCGTCCATGTAGCTACCTGTGCTACAAATGCCAGGTGTTTAAACTGATAGAAAATGTTTCACTTACTGCTGCTGATGAAATGTGTAAGCAAACCAGAGGATGTGGATGGATATATATTTCTTCAGAGAGAACTTCAAAGATTCATGGGGCAAAGCTAGTAACTTACAAAGCATTTTTACTCTTAAGAATTCTTCATGCATTATCAAATCGTAAACTTTATTAACATTGTTAGCCAGAGATTGCCATTCATGATTTAAGCATTAGGTTTAAATTTCGCACGTATTTCCTGGTTCTGCTTTTAAGATATTTACAATAATCGTCATCTTCTTGCTCTGGCTACAGTCCTAGTGCTATTATTGTCTAATTATGGTACCAGTTTCTTTTTCTTTTTACTTTTCTTCCCCCGTTTGAACCTTAGCACATCTATACAGAAAGTTCAGACTAGATTTACTTTTTTTCCTGGTTGCATTGTGTTAATGGAGAGGCATAGGTATGAGTCAATTTGAAAATTATATACTGAGTTCATTTTTGTGGAAGAATACCGTCTAGAATTGCAGATGTTTAAGGTACTAGAATTTGTAAAAATTCTTTATAATTTTTTAAAATTTTAAAAATATTTTTAGTTTCATAATAATATTATTAATTCATACTATTATCTCTTTCAGTGTCCTCTCAATAAGAATTGTATTGCCACATATTTTGTGACTGTCACAAATGAATTAGAGGGCTATACTCTTGGTCTGTCTATGAAAATGATTCTCCAAGTTTTTGTTTGTTCGTTTGTTTGTTTTTGTTTTTTACTGATTTAGCAATTGAGTTAGTCTCTCATTAGAGACGTATTGTGATGGTTCTTCTGTCCACGAGCTTCTTTCATCTTACAATTTGAAGTAATGGGAATATGGTGACCAGACATATCAGGGAATGACTCATTCCTTGCTAGATGCTGCGTAGCCATACTAATATGCTTCTAACCTACACAAAAATAAGCTGCAATTGTGTTTTTGCAATGTAACAATAAAATTAGGTAATTATCAACAGTAATGGTCTTTATAGTGCAATTCCAGCAATTTGACTAGAACATTCTAAACTGTGACAGATTAAGATTCTAACACAGATCATTAATTAGATCACACCAATATAATTAAAAATATCTATTTTGAGATGAAAAATGATTTAGCAGTTAAAGCATGTTCTGAGTATATGTTCTGCTTTTGCTCTTTTAAGTTTGCTCTGTAGTACGGAAGAGTTTATTTTGTGTATTTTTGAAGTGAAGACATTATTTGTCCATCCTACTCAAGTGTAATATTTAATTTTACTTATTTTCAGTTTGCAGAAAAAGCTTCAGCATATAAAGACAACGCATGCACATCTAGATAAGGTAATTACAAAAATCACTGCTTCAATTTTTTGTGACAAAATTGGTCAGAATAATTGCTAATAATAATTACTTTTATAGAAGGCCTTAGCTAAGGAGTAATGCGGTTAAGATCTTTGAAAGGTCATACTGAAAATACCTAGGAATGTGCTTTATTGTAGGGAGATTCTAAATGGATGCAGCAAGCCTTACTTTCAAATACAGCTTACAGCGGTCCGGTGCTGCAGGCAGTCAAATCTTTCCATTCATTCACATGGACAGTGTTATTGGACAGACAGATAAATTGACTTCCGTAATGTTTGCAAGACTGAGTTTGAAATTTATAGCCTATCTTTATGCTGTAGGATTTCTGTCCAAGCGGTCTGTGTACATAGATACCAGAGTGATGTTATTCATCACTCTACATTCTCTAAAGCTGTTATAAAGCTTCATTAAAAAGTAAAGCATATGTAGATTTCCGTTATGTGGGTGCTGGCCATTATTTTTAAAAAGATTAATAAGCGTATAACTCATAATAGTATACTAGATTCTGCCCTAAGCTCAGCTGGAGGTGTCTTTCTCTAGTGTGTTTGAACAGGATGCCATGCCCTTCTCCAGCTGAAGAAGTGGTGGGATGTTTTTCTTTTCTGTTGTTATACCCAACAGTTTCAGAGCTGTCTGAAAGTGGTTGTGACAGGCGTAAGGCAGCTGGTGACCTCCCACACACATCATCACTGCAGCCCACTGCTACTTAAATTTTGTAGTTTACATATATTAGAGATCCCGTCATTTTCCCTTGCTAAACACTTAAAGTTTCAGAACAGTCTGAACTTAGATTGCTTAAAAACTCTGCCCGTAACATCGTAAGAATCTGAACACACACGTAACTACAAACGCCTCCTCTTGCCCCTGCGAGTCAACACAAGGTTAACGTTAAAAATGCGACCCCTAATTCCTGGCAAACCAGATTATAGGGGTTAATATCATAATGGTTGAAACATAGGTATTTCCATTACATACGCCATCCTTTGCACTTTGGATTGGATTAGCAGGGTTAACATTTTACAAATCTGAATACTTACTACGAACTTCAACCTTTTTCCTGCAAGACACCTAACCAAGACCATCAACAGTTTTATTTACTCACCATATCTTAGCGCAGTACAAGGAAGAGTAACGCCAGTATTGGATATACCAGTAGGTTTATAAGTCCAGTGGCTGTTGAGTTTCATCCAGAACCAAATTGGTTGCAAATAGCATTGATTTGATTCAGTGTGGGCATTTCCCCATTTGTAGAGTAAAATCATATATCAGATTACTTAGATTTCCTGGAGCTTTCTCCACTTCCTGTAACCATGAAAACGGAGCTGTGAGCTTTTTCCTGCGCTTCCATTTCTTTTACTCGCAGCTATGGATCTCGGAATACTTTCTGTCCCACTCCAAGTCCCATTGTGTAGAGTGGGAGCATGGAGATTTTTCATCCCCTTCTGATGCTTTTTCTGAGGTTGGCCATACTAATGGACTTTGGGCACTATCCTTTGCCATGCTGCTAATTTTGCACTTGTTTTCTGGCATACCCCTCCCAGTATGATACTGCAGGTCACTCCTTGATCAGCAGGGTGTCCCACCAGGTTATTGGTGATACTGGAGGGGCATTAGTAACTGTGCCTAGTCGGAGCTTTCGAGCCATGTCTTAAAAGTGAACAACACTCTTTTGCAGTCCCTTCCCCTTGCCTATAAACACATTCTAGCAGTCCAAGCTACTGCAGTTGATTGTCCCTCAGTTGGGATATCTTGTTCACGATCAGATCGAGCTCAACAGACCCCTCCATCAGTCAATTTCAAAGCCTTCCGCTGGTGTACAGGGCTGTGTTTACAAGTGGTACAGAAACCCAACTCTGCCTCAAGCCCAAAGCTGTATCCTGCCTCCTCTGACTTCCCCACACCACTGCAGTCACTGCAGGGGCGGTGGTTGTAGGGGTCCCACGCTCCTCGTACTCTTTCTGAGGAAAGGATTCCTGAATGGTTACACTCTGGGGAGTAGCATTTTACAGGTCTATTTAATCACTGTAACGAGGTGCCTGACAGGACTCTGTTTTTATGTTTAAACTTGTATGCTGTTCCCCTAACAGATTGCGTGGCTTGTAACTCAGCTGTCCATTTGGCCAGTTTAGTGCTACTAGGACTATCTTTCTTACTGAGTGCTTGCTAAGGCTTATCTTAGTAGGCTTACTGTAACAGAGACTGACAGCCTGACGACAACATCATGACACGTGTGGAATGGTCCCAATCTCTCTGAAGCTGTTTGGAGCATGCAGAGAGCTCTGGCAGCATCCTCACAGCAAGGCAGCATACCTCTTTTTTTTTCTGCACATCTCTTCTGCAACTCCTGGGCTAATTTTCTTGGATCCTGGCCTTGAGAGAGCCCGGGATTCAGATCACATGAGCATGGGCTTGAAGCAGTCACTGCCCCCTCTCCTCCCACTCACCTTCCACCCCTCTGGGGCTGTCGTGGGTCCCTGCTTTTCCTAACAGTTTGTACATCATCTGCGTGCATCCCCAGCATGGAGTGGATGCGCCGCTCATGCTGCAGTACAGAAGCACAGATTCCCAGGACCAGAACCAAGGCTTCTTCCTGGGCCTCCAATATGCACAGGCAATTAACACAAATACTTATCCTTCCCTCTCCCTAGTCTCAGCTTCCCTTATTTTCCCAGCAGGCTTCTCAGCCCCTCGAAATTCCCCCATGGAGGAATCGAGGCTGAGTTGTTTGTGTAATGGTTTTCTGCTCCTGTTTGCTTCTCACTGATTTTCCTGCTGCTCTGTTCCTTAGTGTCCCTGCTTTGTGGGTCATCCACAAGCCACAGTCCCATTACAGGTGCTTTGCTCTGTGGGTCACTTGGGTGCCACAGTTCTCTCAGAGGTGTCCCCAATCTGGTGTAGGTTGCCCATTGGCTGCATTCCCATCAGGGGCTTCAAAAAAGAAAAGGTGATATTTTTATACAGCAGATTAGAAAAATACGCTTTTCTTCTGGGAAGCTTCTATGATTAAATTTAATTTTCAAGTTAAAATATATGGTGCCTTTGTTTTTCCTTTTGAGCAGTAAACCTTGCCTGTGCAGTTGCTAGTCTTCAGAATAGCAAGTGCATTATATTTTCTTTTTGGAACTAATTAATAAGTATAAAATTTATGCCATGCTTAGCTGTAATTATGATCAGAATCTTAACTTCATAGTTTTTTGTTTAATTAAAGTTTATGTTCATCTTAAGTATGTTCAGTTAGTGCAAGAGCAGTCTAAGTAGACCCCTAAAGGAGACAAGTGAAGTAGAAGCATTCCTGAATTTTATGGGGGAGATGATAATCTCTGCAATATTAAGGAAATTATTGTTGTTTTTGTAGTGTGAAACGGTTTGACCAGTAGGAAACAGTGAGAGCTCATTGTTATTATCCCTGTTTAGTCAACTCCTACAGTTTTATGTCTCGATTAAGGCAGATAAGGCATGAGGGCAGAACAGTTTTCTGACAGTTGGCTACAAGCCTGTTAGATGATCCAGGGTGCGTGCTTACTTCATATGTAAGGTCAGTAGCAACAGAAGTGTAACTACAGTATACGTGAAGTGCAGTGAACTTTTTTCTGTCCTATTTGAAGCTACTTGTTTGTTTTGGTGAGTTAACTTGGTCATTGGATAAACATTTAGATTTTTTACTTGTTACTTTTTTCTCTTTACTACTGGTCGTCCAGAAGTCATTTTAGGTGGTTGTAAAAAATAGGTCTGTGTGCTAGTATGCCACTGAGGGATTATAGCAACAACAGTAACTTTAAAGACACATGTTTTCCTTTATTTTACATAAATTATTAGTTTACAGCACTTTGAAACTATACATTTATTTTTATTTTCTGTTTTAATACTGGTAGCTTCTGAGCAGTAAACTAGTGGTTATTTTGGAATAAAATGGCACTTTAGACATCTTTATTTTGGAACGTATTGCTAGATAGTCTGTTAATAAAAACACTTTTCGTAATCAGAAAGTACTGACGGGTGAAAAGTATGCTGAGTATTTTTTTATCCAATAGAACTGTGCTGAAGAGCCGAAATGATGATAAAATACCAGTAGCCTGAGAAAACAGTATTCTTAAGCATATTTGAAAGGTAGATCTCGCTACCCATAAAAACGTTTAGGCTTTATTTGAGAACAAAGATCAGCCACAGCAAAGAATTACGGTGTGTAAGTTGATGGCGTTAGAACATTCTAAGTATTGGTTATGTCCTTTTAAGTGGATCCTGAAAGAGAATCAAAAAGCCCAGCTTCGTATAGCAAATCAGAGCAGTGCAGAAGTAGAGATTTTTTTTTTATTTGGCTAAAAGATGGAGATGTGTGAAGTTGCTTTTTCTAGGACACCAAATTATAAAGAACAATAACTTTTTAAAATAAGTGAATTGCAGTGTTTGTTCAGTTCAGTAATAATAAGTGAGTCTGTCTGTTTGCAGGGTATAACTACAGTAACATTTGAAGTTTTAGGAAACATCATAGAAGAAAATCTAAATCTGTTTATTCAGGTAAGTGTTACATCATCCTCAATTGAAAAAAATTTTTGGCATTTTATAGCAAATTATCTCATGCCATTGTTTGTGAAAACCTTTTTCCATCTTCATAGAATCTTCTGTGGGAAAAGAATGTGAAAGATAAGGCTGGATGCACCATGGATGTCATAAGACTGAAGGTTAGTCAAAAATGACCAGCTTCTTCATTTTATGTTTTTCCTCTTTACACCTAAAAAGTGCATCAAAAGCAACTAGCCAGTATAAAACCAAACATTTGTTGTATTGTGAATCGAGAGGGAAGGATTACAGTTACTAAATTCTACCAAACGTAACGGGTAGAACATGATCAAGACCACGATTATGGTTGTGCAGGATAGGAATTTCTTACTCCCTTGAATGATGAGAAGAGCTGTAATCACAATTTAGTCCATAACTAGCAAAATATATTGATATCGAGTTTTCTTTGTAAAGAAGCCTTTTTTGCAGGCCTTTAGTGGTATGTTGTCTTCTAATCAAGCTCCCCTTTTTTGCCTTAATTCCTCCAAAAGGTCTCATCCATCTCATGTAAATGCCTCCTCATCTAGGAATGTAGCTATAGATTGCTGTCTCTAATTACAATTATTGACATACTGTGTAGAACTCAACATAACATAGGAAGACTACAGCATAACGCTAGCTGTAGTCTACACTTAGAACTTCTTATAAAATGTCAGACCATGTTTTTAAAAGATGCAACACATAAATGAATGGGTTTATGTTCCCAGGGCACTTGATATGTACAGGTGTGTGTTTTTGAGGTAATTGCAAGTGAGTGTTTTAGGATATATTTCCATTTTTCTTATACCAGACAGATAAGTAAATCATTAAGGAGTGAGAATTGAGTCTGGCATTTTGTATGGTGTAAGAAACACAAAAATATATGCTCTTGTTTGATCTTTGAGACCACTGTGATTCATGGATAGCAACGTAATTATTTTTACCTCACTGGAAGAAAGATTCTGTTCTTGTTCTTTCAGCAACAGAAACGATTGTCTTCCCCTTTCTGACAGATAGAAGAAAACAGCCACTGATGCGTCTTAAGCTATCTGAAAACAATACTGCTATGCACAAATACATTTTTGTTGTGTTGAGCACTAGAATTGAAGTGATTCTTTAACAGATTTGAGGTCTGTAATAGGCTGTTTGCTGAGCCTCAGTCACATTAAAGAAACACACCAAAGAAAATGAACCGCAGGTAGTTACAGAACGGGTTCCAGAGTTTGTTCCTTTTGTATATGTATCTTACCTGACATCAGAGTCCTGTTGGTGGAGATAATAATTTGAATTCCAGCTGATATGCCAAATGCAGACCCTTTTTTCATGAAAGAGTTTTAACTTTATATTTTTTTTCTTTAGGAAAGTATAAGAGATGTTTTACAGAATGTGTTCCACTAGAATATTTTGTAAAGTTTTACATGAAGTGGTGAAAACTCTTTTAATACAACTTTTGGTATGTGGGTAAATGGGCTCAGTCTGACAGTAGCCCCTTTTATTCTGTTGCTAGTCATTTTTCCTTACAAATATTTGTTCTTGCTCCGGTACTCAGAAGTTTTGTCTCAGAACAGTGAAAACGCTAAGCATGAGAACTTAGTTAGAATAATCTGAAATCAGACGTTTTTGCTTATTTTACATCGTCTTTTCATAGGCAACTGTTCTTTCACGGATGCATACATCATATGTATTTTGGAAGTGTCACGGTAGTAGATGGCATTTAATTTTGCTCAGACATGCTATACTGTGTTTTGTCCAAATGAAGAACAGAAGACAGAATGTGAGACAGTATAGTTATTGGTCTTCAATAGAGTAAGGAGATGTGAGAAGGGATGTAATGAGTAATAATGATCATAGTGCATTGCTGTTTTGACCAACTAACGCGTAGTCACCAGAATTTTTTTTTTCTTGCTTGCCTATTTTCATGTTTTTTTTCCTCCTTATGTATTTCATTTTTAAAAGTTTGTTTATATGTCCTAACAGTTATTTTTCTGATAAGGGACTGGTATCTATTCAAGGGAAATCTCATCAGGTGATAGTTCAGGGTGTCCATGAACTCTACGATCTGGAAGAGACTACAGTAGGCTGGAAGGAAGATGAGAAGAGAACAAATAGATTGGTTCTAATAGGTAAGAGGAAATTACATGTCTCCTGATTTGACTTTAAGTAGCTGGTTGTCTCAGCAGGAGATCCTGTGACCCGTCCAGTGGAAAGTGACCAGCCTAAACTAACCAGAATAATAGCACTGAGTATGTGCAGAATACACTTCCGTACAAAGTTGGTCTGTCAGGACTACCGAGGTTTTATGTTCCAGCTGATAGGAATATACGCTACGCTTTTTATGGCAACAAGATAAAATATGAAATATTCATAAATTTTACCTGTATATTTAATGCTATTTAAAAAAATCCATTATTATAAATGCAGGCTGGGACTGATTGCAAGTAAGTGTTCAATAACTGTAAGAAAAGTGCTTATAGCCATTAAAATATGTAACATCTCATTTGTTTCTAAAAAGCCTCTAATAGTGAGGTTGTACATTTCTTATTTCTTGCTTGTTACTCTCTGCTTTGGGATGATTCCAAGTGTTTTTATGACAAAGAACTAGTTTTTCCTTGTTTCTCTTACTTGTGCAGCTTGAAATCTGTTGTTACTTGGAAAATGTGAAGTTATCTGTTATCTACAGCTTAATATCCATAAAGCTCTATTTTCACTCATTGGTACAGCAAAATGTTTCTTCAATCAGAAGACTTGCAAGTTCCTGCTTACATGCATTTCTGTAACACACTGTAAAATATAATTATCCCATTTTGTTCTGTTTTCAGGCAGGAACTTGGATAAGGAGATCCTCAAAGAAGTATTTATAGTGACTGTGACAGGGAAACAGGAAAACAGTTGACATCATACTACAAAGAAGGTGGAAAGTCTTAACACTGCAAGTTTTTTAATGATAAAAAAGACTGAATGGCATGCAGTACAGTAGCTTCTTTCTGCTTAGGCATTTTACACAACAGTTAAACTCTTAAGTTTTGTTGCAAGTTCCAGCTCACCTGCTGTTTAAAGATTAGCTCTTACGGTCTGGAATCAAACACAGTAAATCCTAGAAATTTGGATCTGGCTTAAGTTGTGTCAATAACATCATTTAGCTTTTCAGAATCGCAGATAAGTAAAAGACTTTTGTTTATACTGTATGTGAAAAGAGGCCACAAAGCATTACAAAAGAAATATCTGGTAGGCATGTTTCAAACCTAGTGCTAGCAGTTATCCTGCTAACTCTCTTTTATTACTGGAAATCAAATACTGTTGATTACTGTCAGTAATGTAATCATAGTAAAATGTATTTAATGCTTTCTATTAAACTCTCTTATATCTCTTTCCACTCACTTTGTGATTTGTGAATGTGTACATCCATCCCAGGTAACTCTAAGCCCGTTATATTAATGAAACTATGTAAAAATACATAGACAGCAGAGCCAGAAGACCACTTGAAATACATTACTATCTGCATAATTGCTATAAATTCAGCGTTCAGTCACATAGTCAAGCATTGAAAGATGTAGCTGACCTCTTAGATCTTCTGGGCCATGACCCTGCTAGTCCAGGATGGCAGGAGGCAGTACATTTTCCACTGTGTTGTCTGGACTATCCAGTGTGATTTGTCATGCGATTCTTTGATGCTGCATTTGATTGCTGCCTGGTAAACTTAGTTTGAAGCTTTTATCTCTGTGCTCCCCAGCTTTACCGATTAGACTTGAACTTCTTGCCTTGTACCCTCTCCAGTAGTCATCTCGCACCTGTTGGTATTGAGAGACATGTTGACTACAATTAGGTGAATGTTTAGAGAGTAAATGCATGAAGGTCGGATGGAATGCAGAATGTTTCAAAAGATAGTTTTAGGACATGCAGCAGATAATCTGAAGAATGGAGTCTTATGCTACAGATGCTTCACAGATGACTGCTGGTATGTCTACATAAATGGGAGGTTTTTTTCAATACTCATGGTGTATCATCTGTCATACATTGCATTCATTGCATCAAACTAGAAGAGACCATTTTCTGATTATCGATGTTAAAAATTGTTTCTACTCATACTAGAATAAATTAGTTTAAGGAAAGAGTTAGAATTTTTTTCTAGAGCTGAGGAAGGAGATACTGTTAATCTCACTGCCATGACTGGTAGCTAATCTGATTAATATATGAAGTAATAAGTTACGTATGTCCAATAGGGTGGAGATTTTCATCTTCGCAGTGGATTCACTAACAGTCTTGACTTCATTTCTCGTGTCATAAGTAGTTTTATATAGCTTGAAGAAGTTTACAGATACTATTTTTATAAACTGAAGCAAGGTAAAAAGAACGAACAGTCTACTGACCCTATTGCTCCTTGCAAGTAGAGCAGTGGTATTGTTTGAATTATACGGGTGCTTTTGTTGAGGGGGATTGTGACAAGTTTGTCAGTTTCCCTCAGCTTAGGGAAACATGTCATTTGGAAAACTAATACCTGTTCTCAGAAATCTATGGATTTTAGGTTGCCTAAGTGACACCTAGTCCATTATGAAAATTGGCCAAGTGGTTGTCATCAGTGTTAAAGACTGAGTTATAAACAGACTATGTAAATGAAACGGACTATATAAAATAGACTATGTGTATATTATGTAAAATAGAGTATGTATAGACTCTTTCTTCATAGAAAAAGCAATGAAATACCTTATATAAATACCCCATGTAATTTAAGAACTCTTTTACCTTCAGAAACATTAATTAATCTTCTCTGGAGTGCCCAACTGATCATTCATTTTCCATTTCTAAAAGGTCTTGAGAGGTCTTTTTGTATTTCCTCACCAGGCACATGCTCCAAAAATCCCGCTACAGATTGTCTGTAGACTGATGGAGCTGTAAGTTCCAGCAGCTCTCAGACTGAAAAAACAGTGGATTATTATTAACCTTTAATCAGTTTGTAACAGTAGTCAGAATATCCAAGGCAGAAACAGTTGAAGTTGCAAATTATTCATGAAGCTGTCTTTCTACAAGGCTTTCTCTATTTACTCTTAGTCAGCTGGAATTTCACTGTTTAGAAGTGAAATTGATGGGAAATACTCTAGCTATGCAAGTTCATTTTGAGTGGAAGTCCTAATTCTTGCTCTCTCGCTTCAAGGTCAAATATGTTGGATGTTGATGGCAGTTTTTCTCTTCCACAGCTTTTCTCCCTTTTTCTCTGTGTGCATTTCTACAGCAAGGAATCTGTGCGTCTTTATAGCTCATCCTGCTGTTACTCATTCTTCTTCCTCTGTAGAACTTCACCCTCTACTGCTTGCATGAGTAGCCTTAGTCAGCATGCACAGCTTTTCTCTTTCTCCTGCAAATCGTTCATGTTCTCCTCCTATATGCCTTCAGAGAACTGCTAGCACAGAAAAGTTGTCTGGTATGGAGAGAATGTGCGCTATGTCTCTCTTCCTCATCCTTGCTGGTTGTCAGTTTGCCCTTGTATGTCTTTCCTGATACTCTGTTCGGACATATGACCTTTTAACACAGTCAAAGACTTTCTCTTTATTCTTATTTTCAAGCAATAACAGATGTTTTATTTTCTTGAATCTATAGTTAAGGGACTTTTTGTGGTCTTCTAGGCACTAAGTCTGCTTGTACCACGTCAAAATGGAAAGAAGAGGAAGTGTACATGATAGAGGCTCAGGTAAAGGCTAGCCTTGGAGAAATGATGGCTAATTGCTTCTGTTATTTGTCTTATGTTACTGGCAGTTGTATTGAGGATCCCGTCCTTCAAGGAACTGAACATATATTAAAGCTGGGAGATTAATAAAGCAGGAAAAATAGCAGAGCTCGCTCCTGCTCCCTGTCGCTACTGGCAATCACAGTGGAAGTGATGTAGGAAGTACAGGTCTTCACCTCTCCTGAATTTGCCAAAGGGTGAAGAAGGAGCTGTTTGATTAGAATAGTATTTCCTTCTTGTGTTCAATGAGATTTAAAGCAGCACAGTGTAAAGAGCAAGGGAATCACCGTCCTGTTCTCTGAAGGCAGCCGCGTCCTGCTTACAAATGGCACTTGAAACAGTTGCTACGGGGAAGGTCCCGTAAAATACCGTTCACCTCTGTGCCCTTTTAAGAGGGCTTTAGCGAAACACCCCAGCCGACACGCACCCTCCTCCTCCAGGGAAGCCTGAAAATACAGTTTTGCTCCCTGAGGCTTTCTGGGTGGAATCATCTGAACCACGAGCGGAGCCTAGGGGCCGTGCAGCGGGGCAGGCAGCAGGTATTTGGCAAGGGGAAGCACTCACATTTCTGCAGATGCTGGCTCTAAGAGGGGCAGCGGGTGGGGAGCGATCCAGAACTTCTTCCTCGGAAGTCATGACGAATGGCAAATTTAGTATCACAGCTGTTGGGCAGGGCAGGAGTGGTCCGCTGCTGGCCCCCCTCCCGCGGGCCATGCACCGAGCGGCCCTGGCCTGAGTCTGCCCGGAGAGAGCCCTGTTCTGCCCCGGGGGAGGACAGATCTCCCCCACCTGCCTGACCTGCTTCATCTGGTCACCGGTGCCCTGCCAGCACCAGCCCCGCTCTGCAGGAAGGTACC